CAGCAGGTATAAAAACCTGTAACTTTTTAACAATAATTCTCATTTGAGTGGGTCACAGATAATAAAGGAAAGCTTGTTTCTGGGAAATTAAAAAAATGACATGAGGGAGAAAATATTTATTTGCTTTCTACATTGGTCAAATGACCAGTGGATATTAAAAACCTGTAAATAGACAGATGCAACCAATTCTCTTTCATTAACAAATATTGCAATTTTACAATAAAGTAAATGCACTTAAAAATGTTTACACTTCTGAGGCGCTGAAATTGTCAGAGCTTGAGCCTGCTTTAAATGTTAATTTGATATGCTAATCGGTTGAGGAGAAAAAAAACATTTCCTGTAAATCTTTAAAGAACCAACTTGAATTTTAAAGGCTGTTCTGTCATTCAGGTAGCAAAAGATCCCATCCATGTTGTGTATGGTTCTGTACAGTTGCCTTTTGACTAGGTCTGCTCAGGCGCCAGCTTTGTTTTCCTTCTAAGCATAAGCAGGATCGGCAGCACGCTTTAAAGTTAATTTGAAGTAGGGTCTATATTACCGTCAGCAAATATGTTATAAGCTTATTATTTAATAGTGATTCCGGGGTAAGGCCATCATCTCCTTTCTAAATCCAAATATAAAAGCTGAAATCGTATTTGTTAAAACTGTCATGTTGAATTTGTGGCCCAGATTGTTTTCCCGAGGCGCGCTGGGCCAGAGCTGAGTGCTGCTCCCAGCTGCGGACACCCCAGTCCGGCAAAGCTGCTCCGGCGGGCAGGCGGCTGAGCCACTCCACTGCTCAAACCGCCTGCCTCCCCCAAACAGAGCTGCAGCCCAGTCTGCTCTCGGCTTTTCCACATTGTAAAATCATTTGATTTATTTGTTTGGTTTGGTTTGGTTTTTAGAAGCACTGCAGAAATTATTTCCTACTGGCAGAGAGGGCACTTGGTGTTACACTACATTAGTTTCACATCATTAGTTTAGGGTTCTCAAACTTAAAATTGGAAAGTACATGGAAGGCTTCTAGAGACCTCAGTTCTGACCAGAGCAGAACAAATTAAAGCTGATGGATTCCTTTCGCTGTCTGTAACGTGTGGGGCGATACATCATAAAGTGCTGTGGCATTGCTGAGGGGTTCCCTCTGTCAGCTCAGGAATTTGGTGGTAGGAAATGTTATTTATAAAGAAGAGAAATTCCACTGTTACCAATCCGGTTTAAAAAAAAAAACCGTAATTTTATCGTCACTCCTTGTACCAAGAAACCAAGAGGGGGTGCTGATGACAGCCACGACCCCATATCTCTGGGCAGTTTCTCTCACCTCCACCAGCCACTTCCCCTCAGACTAGCTCTTTACAAGTAATTCCAAACCCGCCCTCGGACAAGTCCTGATTGCACAGCCCTGGCTTGGGGCTCAGAAGGAATAGTGGGGTGCTAGCCCGGTGGGGCTGGGTCCCCCGCAGTGATCCGCTCAAAGTGTGGTGTGTGCCGCCAGCCTAGAGCGCCTATGAGGCGCGGGGAAAGGAGAGGACACTGGCTCGCTGCTCCCACCACCAGGTCTGCGCCTCTCTCGCTCGCTCTTCAGTCCCCAGTGGCTCCCTCTTCCCCAGGGCTCAGTGAGAGCCGGATCTCGGCCTCCGAGGGCTGCGGCGGCGTTGGGACCAGGCGCGGCTCTCAGGTGAACGCTCCCCGAAGCTCTCCTGCCACCTGTTGGCCGCCGGCGGTGCTGACGCTGCCTGAGAAGCAGCACTTTCTTTCAAGCCTGCCTAGAATTTTAAATGTCTTCTTTGCGCCCACCCTCTGGGTGTTGGTAGACCCATAACCATGTCCCAACCCCCCCAGGCTGTTCTACCTGAGCTTCCTGGGTCCCTATATGGCCAGGCCACCACGACTGAGCTACAGGACAGTTGCGTCCAATCTGCCCAGAAGTATCATGTCCAGGGGCCTTCCCCTCAGAGAGCCATGGGCCTGATAGAGGCTGAATGGTGTGTATGACAGCGGAGACCAGACCATCCCGGGTCTTTCCATGGCAGTGTCTAGGGAGGGGTTGGTGAAGAGCCACAGTGGGAGACTGGGGTGAGTTGTCCCTTCCTCTGGACTCAGTCCTCCTGAGTGGTGGCCCTGCTTGGCCACCATACATTGTGGAAAGGGAATATGAACCAGCTTATCTAGCTTGGCTTTCTTACTCCTGGGTGCAGGCTTTGCCTAGGCCCCTCTCTTTCCTTTTTCATAAGGAGTCTTCCAGAGTCTATGTTAGGGCAGCATGGGGAATTCTCTCAGAGGTCAGAAACAAGGGTGTAGGAGTGTCAGGGTGAAGAAGAGTGCCATACCTTCTCCCCATTGTCAGGCACGGGCCACTCCCACAGGTGAACAATCCTGTTCTGAAGGGTTGGATGCTTACTACAGACAGGCTTGGATTCATCCGCACAATAGCTCTGCAAGGTAGTCTCTAGAGAAGTAGGGATCTTGGTGGCTTTCCAATATGGGGTAGCAGCCACATTTTTGAACCATCTGGGTGCAAAAGGAAACATCCTTCTAGGTCCTGAGTGGACTGAGGCTGAGGATGGACTTGGCCTGACTTTGAGAATGTCTCATTTGGTTCAGCAGGACCAAGGGTAGTGTGTGTTGATGGTACTTGCGTTCCTATTTTAGGGAGGGAGGTCTAGAGCCATGTTTTCCCCCAGGCCCTGTTGGAAACAGATGAGATTCCCAGCTGCTGTTGGCCCACAGACAGGCCTTTGGCCCAGTTGAAGATGCAGTGTTTCTTCATTCCATGGTGGTTTTATACACAAAGGTTGCATCACTCTTGACCCCACTCGCCTACAGCATGCATGAGCATTAAACATGGCATCGATGCTTGATGCTTGTGGGGCAGGGTGGACTGCATGGAACCCTCATTATGAGAACATAGTCCAAGCAGTTTCCACCTGGCCTTCAGCAGGTAGCAACTGGCCAACTTATGTCTAGCCCAGACACCTTTTCTTGGCCTTAAAGAGGAAGGTTGTCTGTGAAAGCCAAGGGAGCTTGTTTGTAGGTGCTTATCTCCTTGCTTATCTGAGACCAAAATGTTCCTACCTCCTAGCCTCTGAAATCATAGAGAGGCCCTCTGGTATTTGGCCAAACGGTTTGTTGAGAATCCAGCCCTGAAAAGTTATTTTCTTAGTCTAGGGGCTCATGTGAACTCTGGACTAGAGATGATTTAGTTGTGTTTTTTCAGCTCACCTCATTATTTAATGGAGAAAAATTTGTTGGCATGTTTCCTCTTGGGTGCCAACTGCCTTCAGAGCAGTTCTGTGTGGAGTGATGCCCCATAGACAGAAATCTTGTCATGCTAGGTCTGTGCTTTTGGGAATAGCAAGTGGCTCACTGGACTCTTTTAGATCTGCCAGTCAAGGGGGAGAGAAATCCTATGTAGCCAGAACTCACATTTTTATGGAGAAGAAGGAATGTTAGGAAAGTCAGTAAACTTCAACCCTCCCAGCCCTGTGAACATGAATAGGAGAAGAAGAAAAACCCAAGGCTGATTATTTACCCCCACCACACATGTCACCTCCCTCCCTTTTATTTCTAACCCCTCTGACAGAAAGACATGACTGGTCTAATGTGCCTTCCATCAATACTGTCTGTCACGCAGGTACAGGGAGACCAAAGGTAAGTCAACTTTAAACACACCTGGCACAGCTGATTCCCGCCTTTGTACTTGGAATGGCCCCTAGCCAGCTGGCTGCCCTGTCCTCATTCATGTGCTGTCCGGAGGAATTCTAACAAACTGACTTTTTACAATTTTTATGGTCAGGTATTATTCTAAAATCAGGCTATGCAGCTGCCTTGGGGGTGCTTGGGTGACCTATCTGATAAGTAGTCCTGCTGGGTCTTGGAGCTTGCAAGAGCTTAACCCTGCTCTGACAAGAGAATGATCTCTGATCTGGGAGATGGAAGCTTCTCTGGGGTCCACATTCCCTTCTTCAGCAACAGATAAAACAGGTTTTCTAAGGCCCCCAGATGATCCCAACTGGTCAGTAGCTGGCTGTGCTGATGGTGTCCAACTAGCCCCTTGTGGATTCCTTGGAAGAGGGGGTAGGTGTCTGAGCTGTGGACTATTTTCCCAGCTGGATGTATTGGGAATGGAGATCCCTTCTCCAGAGCTGTGACAAATAGAGAAAGTGCATTACTGACAATAATCTCTTCAAAGCTATGTCCCTTTCTCTTACCCCAGGCAACTTTAACATGCCACTCAGCTTCACACCTTTCTTGTGCCTGGGGAGGAAATTTCCCTGAGCAAAGAGAAGAAGACTGCTGAGTCTCTCTCAGTCTTCCTCCTCAATGGCAAGTTCATTTGTTTTAACTTTCCCTGTCCTGAGATAACAAATTCCAGAGTGAATAGAAGATGTGGTGTGTGGAAAAGTCTTTTAAACGGGATATTCTCGGTTGTGAGGCCGAGCTGTTCTGGAGACACTGACACTCTCCTAGTTCTCAGAGCTGAGGGGTGATGAGGCTGTAGTGGTATTTTGGATTTGGGGCTGATAAGATTTTTTTTTTGTAAATCACCGGACTCCTGATTATCAGCTGGGAAATTCATGGTCGTGTTTATCTGTAAAGGAAGGAGAAGACAAAATAGGCTTCTCAACCGTCAATTGGGTGGCTCATTGTCAAACAATCACTTGGAGAACATTTGCTTTGGCCCCTGAGTGTCATTGCTATTAGCCACTTGATCCCTGTGAGAGGCCGTGCTCTAGGTCACCCCCATTTTAGAGATAAAATTCGGTCCTGCTTTTCTTCTCTGTGTGATCCCAGCAGAGGCAGCTGAGCATTGCTCTGACTCCAGTGAGCAAACTTCTTTCCAAGTCCTCATTATTAGCTTGAACTGATAATGCTTCTTGGCGTCAAAAGAGATTCAAGTGCATAGGAACAAATACTTTTGGAAGAACTAAAGGAGATGACAAAGTTGTCATCAAAGACATCAGGCCCCTGTCTTTGAATTTCCATACCCTCTTCTCTCTCTCCCACCTCCTTCACTCCTGCAGGCACCATTGGAATCTTTTGGAGTTCACCTGGCTAGGGGAGAGGACGTTGTGAAATTCTGGAATTGCTGCAGAAACTTGAAGACATGGAAAATGCAAACTCCTTACTTGGTCTGTCCTGTCTCCTGCCAATGTGGTCTGACAGGGCCTGTGGGTGTACTGATGCCAGATATGAGCCAACTAAATAAATCTCTAAGAGAGTAAAAGAAAAGCACTCTTGCACTTTCCTTTTGTTGTCTGTACAAAAGCCACTCTGGGTATGTGTATAGTGTCAGATGCAATAATCCAGAGTAAATCTCCAGGAAGAGAAATACATCTGAATGGGAGTGAGCACTTATTTCCCATTTCCCCACCCTCCCCCTATGTCATGTTGAGTGAGTCAGTGGGGTGGCTGCTGACAGCTCCTGCTGGCTGGCTAGGATTGGGGGGTGGTCACAGGACCCCGGGGGTTGCTGCCAGATCCATACAGGTCATTGAGCTTCAGCTGGGGAGAATTTTGGGTCTTTGCCCTCTGGGCTGTGTCCATGCTGGCTGAGGGTCAGAGGAAGACCACACCCTTTGATGCTAGGCTTCCACAATGGCTAAGGCTTTTCTAGGGGACCCAAGGGGAATGTTCTTGCCAAGTGTATCCACTATAGAAGTCTGGAAGCACTTAAATTATACATACTCTTTCCGCAGACTGAACTTGATGATCTGAGGGCCGCCTTTCCCTGGTCTTCTCATGGAACCCCTTCCAGTCTGGCTAGGGAATACCTGCTTATTCACTGGAAAAGGGCAGTGTTGCAGAGCTGTTGGGGGAGAATGCATTGTGCTAAACCAAGATTTTGTAAGGCCCCCTTCAGAATTGTAATACTTTTGCCACAAAATGGTTCATCTTAACCCTGTATTATTTACTGTACAGTCCATATTCCAAAAATGTCCTTTCAGTGTAAGATCCAGTCCATGCTCATGTATTGCATTTGTCTACATATTGTCAAATCTCTTTCAATAACCTTTCAGTGGGAATGGCTTTTTAGCCTTTCTTTGTCATGACATGTGTTGTTGAAGAACGGATAAGAATCTAGACTGTTCCTCAATTTGGGTTGGTCAGATGCTCTTTAATGCTTAGATTGAGATTCAGGCTGGAACCTTGCATACTTCAGTATATCTTATCTGGAACTACATGCTATCTATCTGCCCCTCATTGGTGATACAAGCTTTGATTTCCTGGTCAAGGTGTTGTCTAGTTACTGCATTGCCTACTCATTATTTTCCCTTGAGCTAACAAGCAACCTTTGCTGAGACACTTGCACTTTGACATGTAAATATTTTGCTCCTCTTCAACCCTCCCTCTGCCCTGAATTTAAAATCTATTGATAATTCCTACCCCAACCATTGTTTATTGTGATGATCACAAAATGGTGATCTTTCTACTTCCACTGCTTTGTCAACATTCTGGTGAAGAGTTATCCCTCTTTCCTCTCTCCTCCTCTTCCCCCCTTCCTCTCTTCTGGTATTGCTGCTTCTTTGTCAATATAGTCTCATAGATTTCTATTTTATTCAATAGGTTATAATATATTAATATCACTATTTTGTGCTCAAATAGCCCCAGATTTAGCCTGTGAGACCCCTTCAGGCTTGATTCCCGCCTCCTTTTGACATGCCGTCATTATTTTGAGTATTTTTTAACTTTATGGCACCGACATGATGTTTCAAGCTTACCTTGTACTTTCCTTGAACAGATCCTGGAATCAACCATGTTTTCTAAAAAGCCCTGGTTTCTAAACAAAGATGTAGAAATGTAGTTTACCAAATGCTACTGGAGGGATTTTGCTTTGAGGTCCTTCAAATTTAGGATGGATACACATATGTCTGTCTGTCTTAACTCTGAAATATACACATTGTATGCACACATACATTTAAAGTTATCTATACATTTCTGAATACCCACACATTTTTATCAGTTCATGCTGTTATGTCCAATTCTATACAACAGAATCATCAGTGCCCCCTCCCTCCCTCCCTCCCTTCTTTCCTTCCTTCACTGAAGATTGAACCCAAGGCCTTCACATGAGCTGCATCCCAGCCTTTTATTTTATTTTTTATTTTGAGATAGGGTCTCACTAAGTTACTAAGTTGCCCAGGCTGAGTCTGAACTTGTAATCATCCTGCTTCAGCCTCCCAGAGTGCTGGGATTATAGGTGCGTGCCACTGTGCCTGGATTCATCTCATATGGAAATTTCCCTTCTTCCATGATTAAGAACCCAGCTCCAACACTCCTGTACATTTATTCATATTCTCACTCCTATACTGCAGTTTTAAAACTGGCATACCCATACATACCATTATGAAAATAGGTATAAAGTCTTTACTATTAGTTTGAGGGGTTTTCTCCCTTTATACAGCAGTGTCTACAGTCAATGTACTTTGTTCCCAGATTACTTGGATTAGTTTTTATTTCTTTTTTCTTCTGCCTGGTTTTCACTTTGGGTTTGTCAACTCTTTTCTCATGCCTGTGCTTTCCAGTTTAGTGTTTTGTTCTTCTCATCCTGGTTAATTTGATTTGATGCTTAGTTCTGAATAATCCAAGTATGCTCCCAAAGTCAAAGCTCCATAAAAAAGTATAATGTGTTTGCTTATTTTTACAAAAAAGGAACATAGGAAGGAAAAGCCAGAAAAAAAAATCGGTATTTTCAGAGAGTCAGGGAGGAGATAGTGAAAAGGATTTGGACAAAGGGCCATTTTTCTGTGTATACATTTTTTGATAAGTTTTTTTCTGTACTGGACTTTGAACCTAGGTCCTTTGCATTGAGCTACACCTTCCAGACATCTTTTGTTTTTTAATATTGAGATAGGGTCTCACTACATTGGTTGCCTAGGCTGGGCTTGAATTTGTAATTCTGTCCTGGCCTTGCAGAATGCTGGGATTATAGTTGTGTGCCACTGTATGTGGCTCTTTAAAAATTTTTTGGTAATTTTTGAACAAATATGTTGACTGTTTTTCCTTCCTTTGTTTATTCTTTTGGAAAAATAAGTGGATAGTCCTATATTTTTCTATTTCCTTTTTATATGAAAGGTGACATAGTTTATGTGTTTAGGTATACGTATGTTGCACTTGCCTCTTTTCTCTGAACAATATTGTCTAGAAATCATCCTGTTGAGTTCATAGAGTCCTTTCTCATTCTTTTTTACAGCAGGATGTTATTTCATTATATGTGTGTAACATAGTTTTTATTTTTCCAACAAATTTCCTGTATTTGCAAATTTAATTTCCAGTATTGTACTGGAATGACTAAACTTGCATGTGTGTCATTAGCAGTGGTGGATATTTACGGTAATTTCTTAGAAGTAGGAGTGCTAAGTCAAGGTAAATGAATAAATAGTTCTGTTAGCATTGCTGATTTTTCCTTCATAGGAGTTGTACAGTGTGCATTCCCACAAGCAGTCCATGAGCACACTCGTATCCAGTTTGCCAGCAGTCAAGAGTGTTAAGATACCAAATTGTTGCCCATCTGATGAGTGAGAATTAGTATCTTAGTGAAGTGTTAGTTAATTTGCATTTCTCTGATTATGTATGAAGTTAAATATTTTTCATAGGTTTCAGAGACATTTTTATGTCTCAGTGGTGAATTGTCTTTGCCCACTTCTTTCTAGTATTTTTTTTTGTCTTTTTAAAAGGTGTATTAGTTGCCTATCTGTGATATATGTTGCAAATATGTTCTCCCAGTTTCATGTTTGCTTTCTGATTTTGCTTTTGGCATTTTTTTTCTTTTTGCTATGCAAGCTTTTAAAAGCTATAGTCAAATTATTAATTTTTATTTGACTTAATTTGAATTTTGATTCATAACTAGTTTAGCTACAGTTGGATTGTAGAATAATTCACTTACATTTTCTTGTAGTATAGTTTAATTTTCTACACTTAGGTCTCTTAAGTTTATTTGAAGTTTACTTTTTTGTGTGATGTGATAAATGACTAATTTTATTTTTTCCAAGTATTATTCCCCTGTACCAACATCATGTATTGGAGGATTGTCCTTGCTTGAGTGATTTGAGATACAATGTTTATCATATAGTAGGTTTCCACATGTGGCTCAGTTTATTTCTGGACTTTGCACTCTATTTCATTGGTCTATCTATTTCTGTGCCTTTACCATACTCTCTCTCTTTTTTTTTTTTTTTGGTACCGGGGATCAAACTCAGGTCCTTGCGCTCGCGCAGCAGGTGGTGAAACCACTGAGCTAAATCCCTGGTCCTATCATACTCTCTTAATGATGGAAGCTTTGTAAAATTTAAAAATATGTGGTAGGCCTAATTCCCTCCTTGTAGCTTTTTCTTTCCTGAGTTTTACTACCTACTCTTGCATGTTAATTTTTTTTTTTTTTTATGAACCTTAGTATCTACTTGTCTAGCTCCAGGGAAAAATTTGCTTAGAATTTTCATGGGCTCACATTAACCTTGTAAAATAATTGAGGGAAGACTACAGTGTTATCTTAATGATGTTGAGACATCCTGACTGAACCAGGGGTGTCTTCTATTGATGCAAATCTAATTTTGTATTTTTTAGGAATATGTTATAGTTTTTTTCTCCATATAAGTTTTCAACATTTCTTGTTTTATTTCTAGGAATTTAATCTTCCATTGCTATTGTAAATGGGAATTTCTCTTTTATTACATTTTATTAGTTATTATTGTGCCTCTGAAGGCTGAGTTTTGGTATTCATTTTATAATCCTACTATCCTGCTAAGTTACTTTATTGATTCTGTTAGTTCAGTGGCTCTCATTATGTAATCTGGGTACCCGTTAGAGGTTTCTGAGAACCTTTTAGTGGATTTGTAAGGTCAGAACTATTTTCACAATGATAAGACATGATTTGTCCTTTAGCTTTCATTCTCAGTTGAGCATACAGTGGAATTTTCCAAAGGCTGAGAAATACCCTAATAAAACTATCATGGGTGCTATCAGAACAGATTGAATGCAGATACAGATAGGAAAAGCCCACTGTTTTCTATAAACCTTAACAGTAAAGAGATATATGAAAATGTAAAATGATGTCATTCCTTTCCCTGAAAGATGTTTTGTTTATGATTATTTAAAAACATGCCATTTATGTTCACACATTTATTTTTATTACTTTTAAACATTTGAAAATTCTTTAGTTTAAGATTCAAATTCAGAAAATGTTAATAGATACAAAC